GATTCTTTCTTTAATCAGTTATGTCAAAACAAGATCTCCAGATAACATGACAGCATCATAAAGGTTTCCCGATCTTTAGTCAAGGATAGTTCTTTTAGCATTTGTTCCTCCATTTTGTCCCCAACCTACAATTATCAAAACATTTCACTTTTTTCTTGATAGTCACATGTGTCTTTAAATAATGGCAGAGATAAATAAGCCCAGAAATCCTCAAATCCCCCTCTATAATGCAATTCAGCTGCAGGTTATTTTTGTAAAAGATTTCATAATACATGCTGTATTCACTGAGTGTGGTTCCGATGCCCATTTGGGACAGCAGATAAGCCTATTATGAAATATGATACATGCAACCTTAGATCAAACCAAAATCACTTCCAGGGACCATCTGCTAAAAGACATTATTTATTTAAGTCAGATAACCATATTACATTAAATGGATTATGAAAAAAAAAAAGGTTCCTAATTTTATAGCCATTGCATAAATAGAAAGGTTTTGTTCTGTAAAACCCAGTCAGGGCAATGGGAAAACAACTTACCAGTTTCTTTTTTTTTTATGTAATATATTTTAAAAGAAATTTAATGTTGGATGATGTATGGCCAGTTTCTTACCTATTACAGGTTTGTTTTGCTTTATACGTGACAATAAATTGGCCAAACGTTTTTTTGTTGTTGTATTTTTTTATATACCTTTATATTACTTAAGTGATTTAAAGTTTTAATCAATGGTTTTAGTTTATGATAAAGTAAAACTTTAAAGGGAGATGTGCGTTTAAGGGAATGCCTGCTTTCTAAGAAAAACATAAAAGCAAGACTCGTGTTTACCATCAAAAAATTATCAACCACCTGGTTTTCTGGAATAATTTCTTTAGCTAGATGAACCTCAGAGGTAATTATTTGTTGAGACAGTGTGTTTGGCATACTGCACCACTCATCCTAATACCAAATGTTAAAAACACAAAGCTATAGGGTTCACAGTTTGTTTTGTTGCTGCCTGGCCTGGCAAACCAAGAACCCCACTTTGCTATCAGAGGATCATGAAAAACAATATTTAAAGTATTAAAGCTGAACCGGAAGTGGACCCTTCAGCCTGACATTGACCAAAAAAACCTGTTAATGACCAAAGTCTGGATGAGTATTAGGAAATTACTTTTTTTGTTGTTTTTGGGAGAAACTTAAATGCATAGTGGAGGATGTTCTTTTTCCGGTAGGATCATCAAAATAAGTGATCCTCCTACCGGTAATTGTCAATTATTCAGATTATATGTTTACCTAAGGCCGTCCTATGTGCTCGTCCCCGTTTACACTTACCAGTGGTGAGTCTTACATAGTACGAATTGCAAATCTTCTTTTTGAAAGTAAGCTTGTATGAGTGATCTAAACATCAACTTTTAAACAGAGCGTGCACAATGATAAATGGGCTTGTGCACGCTCTCGCACGCACTTAATACTCGTTCCCTTTTGGGCGGAGGGTACAGGGTTGTGCATGTGTATTTTGTTTTTAAAGTGGAGAGTGTGTGTCTTTGCAAAAATTGCGAAAATCCTCCACTATACCTTTGAGAACTACTTTTAAATGTAAGAAATGCCTCAGACACTAGACAGCGGAAGTAAGCTGTGGGTTCAGCTTTCTTTAGACCAGTTTCAATGTCAACAAGAAGCAAATTTACTTCAGCTAAATATGGTAAGGCTAGTTATCCTAAAGGGGTCCCAACTTATTCTGCTACAAAAGAGCTTTGATACATTTAGAGTACTGACGACAATTTTTTGTATCTGTTTCCAATTATCTAAAGTATATACCAGTCTTCAAATGTTCGTTACAACTTCACCACGGAGCAAGTCCGAGCAAAAAAAAACAACAACGAAAAAGTGTGAAGTTGACACTTTTATATACTGTTTTCAATGTCATACAAAAACTGAGACATGTAGATTTCCTTAGCTTCCTGTGCAACTATGTCACACAGTAGGTTAAAAAATACCCCAAAATTTTATTCCTTAATTTTAGGTATTGTGCTTTAATTATCTTTTTACAGTCATGACAGTTAAATGTTATAGTGGAAAGCCCCTTGAGCTTTTAGTACTGTTGCCAGAGTGGAGATACTTCACACGAAGTAGAATGACTTCTTGTTTTTATGCTGTCTGTGAAATCACCTACATCTTTTTTAGCACCATCTAACACTAAAGGCGTGAAAGCTGAAAATATCTCCAAAGCAACATCAGTATTTTTACAGTCAGTCTGGAAAAACCAGAGGTTATCTTTACTAATAGGAGAAAATAGGCAACAATGAGTTTCAAAGATTTGCTTTTCTCTGCTCACTTCAATTATTTTATTAATTTACAACAAAAATTACACCATTACTTAAAAATCTTTTTGAAAGATAATCTGTTCTTTATGTGTTCAGAAAGCAATAGACTGACCTTGTAGAACATGTGATGTTTTGCATGCAGAGTAAAATTTGTGTTCTAATTTTAAACCATGAGGCCACACAGGGGATGAATTTGATTTGGTCCCACTTTCAGACCTGATTATTTTGTAGTCTTTGACTCCACCTGCTGTTCATTCACCATTGCTTTGTTTTTGCTATGAAAACTCTGCTGTATTTTGGTGTTATAGGAATGCATTTTAATGGCTTTAAAAAAAGCAGTTTTCCCAGCAACAGTTAGAATGTTGCATTTTTCATTATTATTATTTGTTTTTTAATCATTGATAGATTTACAGTTAATTAAAATAAACATAAAATCAAATACAATAAGTCTCTAAGATATTTGTCACAAAATGAATTTTAATTCATTAAATATGTTTGGAAAATCTTTTTTTTTCTGCAAGCAGCTGACCTCAATTATATTCCATCCAACCATCCATCCATCCATCCATCCATCCATCCATCCATCCATCCATCCATCCATCCATCCATCCATCCATCCATCCATCCATCCATCCATCCATCCATCCATCCATCCATCCATCCATCCATCCATCCATCCATCCATCCATCCATCTTCTCCCATTTAATCCATCAGGGTCAGGTGCAGGTGCCTATCTCCAACAGTCTATGGCCAAAAGGCAGGGCCCTTTACAGGTTGCCAGTCCATTTGGAAAATAATGTTTTATTAAAGGATTTGCTTAAATTAATAACTTTATTTATTTTTTTATTAAATTGATTCCTAACCTTATTTGATTGAGTTAGTAGCTAGCAAACATATGGACTCACATGAAATGACTTTTGGTCATAACTTGGTAATAAAATGTGATCAGCATATGATTAAAAAACACCTTAACCTTGACTTTATATTAGTAATTAAACTCTTAGTGAATCAAAGCTTGTTCTGGCTTTATAAACAAGAGCTCAGAACATGTCCGGATGGTGTAAAATGAGGTCCATCCAGTAAGCATGACTTTTGCCAACAGTAAACATATAAGATTATCAAAAATCATCAAAGAAACAAATTATTTCGCAAGAAACTCTTCCTGACTTGTGTGCCAGACCTGTAAACCTCTAATGATCTCCATTTGGAAGGCTTTACAGTATCCAGTATTTATCAGCTTATAGCAGGCTTACAGCAGGGCAGTTATTTTGTTCTACGGACCTTCACACATTCAGCTTCTCCCAGGCATCTGGAAAGGCTGAATCACAGAGAAGAATGTTGCAAATGGTCTGTTTTGCAGCAATTAGGTTCTGATGTCAGCTATCAGGTTCACCTTTGCCTTTGGTAGGTCTCGAGTTCTGGCCCCTGGGCAAGGGGGGCACGATAGTTTCCTCTCTGATGTGAACTGGCCAGAGAGCAGTTCCCAAAAAGAAAGAGAAAAGCCTGAGATAGTTATCCTCAATGTTCCATGTGGGGCAAAAACACACGTCTATAGGAGTGTATTGTTATACTATCTTAGGGGGAGGTGTTGCAGAGCAAAGTCAACTGCAGGAAAAAAACCTTCCTCTTCCTAGCCCAATGGATATGGTTAACAGAAAGCATGGAAATTGGTTACCAATGTCCAATGTTATTTGGCACAAGACTAGATTATTATTTGTTTAAAGTTGTATGTATTTTTAATTAATAATGCATACTTGATAAAAAAAATAATACTAATGAGCGTATTTGTTTCAAATACATAACGTTTATTTGTTTGAATTGCATAATAATCAGGTTACCTTTATGCACTTCAGAGGATTTTAAGACTGGTGGGCCCGCCATCAGTCTGGGGCATCATGAACAATTGGTGCTAAAAGGCCTGGCCAGCATTCAGCGGCAGAGGCCTTGGTGACCTGATCGACAGCTATGCTTAAACTGGCTCTGGGGACGTGGAAAATCACTTTGTTGGGAGGAAGGAGTGTGAATTTGTGACAGAGGTGTGGCGATGTTGGCTAGAAGTGGTCAGGCACACCTTGGCACATAGCCTGGACTCTGGAACCCAGCTCCTTGATAGTGGCTGGACTCTATTCTACTCTAAAATTGGGGTGAGTCTGTTTGCCTTCCCCCGGTTAGGCTGTTGTGTTTGAGTTTACCCCGAAGGATGCATTCCTTCGCCTTTGTGTAGGGTGAGTTCCCCTTCTATGTTTTAAACTATGGGTCGCATGGCAATACAGAGTACCAGTCCTTGTAAGCATCCTTGTCAGGGGAGTTGGATAGCTCTCCTGCAATGGGAGGGGGGGGGGGGGGGGGGGGGGGGGGGCAATCAGATGCTCCGTAAGAGATCGGTGGCCTCAAAAAAACTTCAATTTCTGCTTTACGATAGTTACGCCATTGCATCAATAAGGAATCCGAAATACTTTAATAATCCCAGGGCGAAATTATTTTAATCTGTAATAGAGTAATTATAGGAGCATAACACAATTTCATACAATATATATTATTAAGAGGTCCCTGCTCCATCTCGCCATCAGTTTGGGGGTTTTTAGCCTGGAAAACTTTGAAGACACCTGCTGTAAACGAAACACGGTTCACATTATTAGCGGATCAACTGTCTGGCGTTTACTGATGGTCCCTGAAAGCAGCACGCCGCTAGGTCAGCTGACCATGAGCTGTCATGTGGTGGTCATAGACGCGAAATGGAGAGTATGCGGAAAGCGAATGAATAAACAACCACGGCTTCCTTAGAGAGTACACAGCTGGCGAAGTTTTAGCGGCTTGTTTCACTCGTCCATCATGGCGTGGACAAAATATCAGCTGTTCCTGGCTGGGCTGATGCTCACAACTGGCTCCATCAACACTTTATCCGCAAAGTGAGTCGATGTACATATGCGTTTCTTTTAAAGCCCATAATGTTTAGTTAGCTTTTAGATGCATCATGGAAGTGGCATGGGTTTAAACAAAGAAAGTGTTTAGAGCTAATTTTCTTACAGTTGATGTTCGCCATAGTCGTTATTACGCATTGCTTGCCGTTTTTAACGGCAGAGATGTTGTTAGCAACGTTAGCTGAAAAGTAACTACACAATATAGCGCAATAGGTTATTTATTTGGCATGCTTTGTGGCCAAACAATGGTGTAGATGATTTATTATTATAACGTTTGTGAAAACGGCATCTTTAGTCAGTGAATATCAACTAAGATATTCCTGCTTATGTCCTTTTTTCTGTTTATAATTAAATCAGAGGTCAAATAAACCAGGACTGAGCTGATCTACTGATGTATAATAGCTTGTTTTACCCTCTATTCACATGACATAGGAACATTTGGTCATAAAGAATCAAGCAGAACTCCTGATTGATTCCAAGAACAAACTGTTAAACTTTGGATGAAATATACTTTTTTTATTGTCATTACACTATGACAAGGGGCTGCCATTGTGCGGCGCCCAGGGAGCAGTGTGGGGTTAAAGGTCTTTGCTCAGGGAACCAGAGTTGGAGTCTGTGGGAGATGGGCTTGAAAATATAAAAAAAGAAATGTCAGAGTAGAAATGATGTAAGCCTTACAGTAAAGAATTCACATTGTTACTCAAATTAGTTAACTAATTATTTACATTATTAGATTCCAACCTTTGCGTTTTTATCTAATAAGCTTCGAGGTCACAACATTTATAAGCTGTTAGCATTTAAACTTCCACAATTAAAATTAATCCTGTTTAATGCTGTGAAAAAGTACCTTTGAAATCAAGTAGGTACCAGAAAAAAAGTGCTGATTTAATTTAATAAGGAAGGAATCTATTTACAAAATCATTAAAGAAACAAGAGCACCATAGTTAAAGCCCCGAAATAACCAAAAATCGATAACTTGTGATGATATAATCAGATACTAAAAGCATAAACTGTCAAGGTTTGAGGACCCAAATGCAGAGGCAGGGAGGCAGAGGTGAGTATCTTGTAGATTTAATGAGCAGTAATTCAAGAAATTCAACAAGAAAAAAGTTAAACAAACCAGGAACCATGGAGACATCAGGGGAAAACAATCATGACGAGGTAAGACACTGCAAGACGGTGTAGGATGAAGTTAGACAAGAAACCAGCACTGAGGAACTGTACAAGGAGTGTATTTATGGGAGACTGAACAAAGAGAGGTCTAACGAGTAGATTGGGAGCAGGTGTGAACAGAGCAGACTGGAAAGGAGCTAGGGAAAAAGGAGAACACAAGAGGGCAGCAGAGAGCAACAAATAAAAACCTGAAAACTGAAAAATAACAAGAAAACACAACAAAATAAGAATTAAACCAATAAAACTAGAAAACATGGAGCAGAGTAAAAACCAAGACTGTAACACAAACAGAAAAAATCATAAATAACATTTAACAGTTTCACCTCTTAAAATAATCTGTAGTTATTTAAAATAGTTTTCAATTTGGAAATCTGTTTAAACAAGGTGACATTTTTATCTTTTCCCTATCACAGCTACGTTTTGTTCAGCTAAGTGCATTGACATTTATTGCATATAGTTAAAAATCTTGGCGTGTTAGCAGTTTTGATCTCAGCATCAGTGCTGTTGCAACACTTAAAATCTTTGCTCCAAGACAGACACTTATCAATCACCAATGTTTGCCAGTTTGTAACTTTGACTAGATTAATAAATCCATTCATACTCAAACTATATAAACATACTAACTGTTCTTCCAAGGACAAAAATCAAACTTTTTCTCTTAAAATATGTAGTTGTTGCTGTTTAACATATGAAATACACTCACAAACTAAAATTACAATAGATTAACTATTCGAAAAAGCTAATATTTTGCATCCTCCAAAATTCTTAGTCAGCATGCCTTTTGAACAACATGTTGAACCGACTCCATTTGCATTTTAATCTTAAGGAAAAGCCTGTTGTTTATTCAAACAACAGGCTATAAAATAAGCCCATTATCTGAAATCCATCTACATGCAATTCCTTGTTAAATTGCAACTTTGAGTTTACAGTCATTTGATCTGTTGTGAGAAAAGTATTTCAGCTATTTTAGCTGATAAAGTAAAAGAAAATCTTGGTAAACTTGTAGCTTTAACTGCTTCAGAAGCAGAACTGAAATGTGTCGTGATCATTACAAGAAGTATAAAAAAACAAAACAAAGAAGGAACCCTGACCGAAGCGATTGTCTGTCTGTAAATGTCAGATGTGACAGACACATCCTTAAAAAAGCAGCCTTGGACACTCATATTCTTTAAGTGTAATAAAACAGCTGCTATTAGTAAAGTAGAGACAGTCTACACTTCTGTTTATAAATGTTAGATAATTTCCACATAATTGAAACTCAAGTTTTCACCCTTTTAACTTCTCCAATATATTTGGATGTCAGCGTTATCCCTCCTGTCATCTGCTTCCCCATCCTCGTGTTTCTCCTCTGAATCACAGTCAGTTTAGCTCTAACGTCTCAGAGAAAACCTGCTCTGTCATGTTGCTCATAGAGGATTTCTGCTACTTACAGGTAAAGTTTCACAACAGTCACATGATAGCTAACCTGCTCCCAGCAGTAGAGCGCCGCTGCTTGCGTTTTGTTTTATGTGCTGACTAAAGACATTTTAAACTCAAGGGCCACAATAAAAAGGACGATTGCAGTAGATTTAAACTGAGTGTTGGAGTTCTACTGTTTCCACAATGAACTAATGAGCTCAAGAGTTTAAAAGATTTCAAGGAAGCATTTGGATCGTGACTGATGTGTGAGGACAGGCGCCTCACATGTCAGTCATGCTTCCTCTGACCAGCCAAAGGATTTCTGCATACATAAGCACTCATTAAACACACAAGTAAAATGCAACGTCATCACCCCGTCTGCCTGACTTTACATTGTGTCTGACCTGCTTCTTTCATACTGACATTCATGCAAATTAAGGAAATTATTTCCTGACAGTTTTTTTTATAAGTGCGATCAAAACATTCACAACTATCACCACTGCTAATTTTTTTTGTTTGTTTATAAATGATATCAATAAGTAAGTGTGCATGATGTTTTTTTTCTGACAGATGGGCTGATATGTTCTCAGCAAAGGGTTGCCATGGTGATGCTGAACACTCCTTCTCCCATCCATTTGTACAGGTACCTTAATGCACTTTGAGTGAAAGCATTTTATTGCATATAAAAATATAAAGCAATGAAACTTGTAATTTATATAAGATAGTTCTATTTTTTCATGAAATCAAACATTTGCCTCTTTAAATCAATTTTAAGGATATGGAAATTTAGATACAGCAGAAATCACACCATGTATTTCTTACCACACTGACCTGAATATAATACGACCCCTTCTTTCCAGGACCATATTTTAGGTGCAAAACAAAAAGACTATTTAAATAACCTTTTATATTGAAGTGCTAACAAATTCATTTAAACAATATTGCATTGAAGGATTTGTACAATTAAACAATAAAAAAATAACAATAAAAACACAGTAATGACTCAGTTAATTGAAATCTTGCAACATTTCAACTCAAATGTAATCTGAACTTTGCTCATAAACGTCACAAAAACCTGCATGAGGCTTTTACTCACAGGCGTACTCCGCCTCGCTGTCACTCCTACTCTCAACCTGCAGCTCTGCTATTTTTTGATTAGCTTTTCTTTTGCTGTTCAAATTGTACTGGTCTTTTTTAAAGTGCCGTCTTCTGACATTGCACTCTGTAACGCCGTATTTCTTTGCTGCCTGAGAGTTGTTTGATGCCCCCGCTGTATTGACCATTATTATAAAATTATTTTAACTCTGCCTCAAATGTTTGGAAACTGGTCAGACTTTTGATCCACTAAATTCTGGGCAGATTCCTTTTCACTGCTCTGTTGATTAACAAATAACCACAGCCACAGTGAGGTCAATGGCTTTACAAAAAAAACTAGCGCCCTCTGCTGTTTTATTTGTGTGGCGACTCCGGACAACTGTCGCTCTGTACGTATAATTGATTAGACCCCAAATATAAGATGACACGACATTTTCACATCATTTTTTACAAAAAAAAAAACCTTGTCTTATATTCTGGGCAATATGGTATTTATTTCTCTTAAAGCTTTTCTTAAGGATCAGTATCGACTCTCGGGCTAAACTGGGGCTACAGCTATCGATTCCTTTAGTTGTGCTTAATGTGTAGAGTTAATTTGCTCATGTCTTTGTCTCTTTCCAGGCAGTGGGAATGTTTCTCGGCGAGTTCAGCTGTCTTGCAGTTTTCTACATCTTGCTTTGCCATGACAGGCGGAGCCCAGAACCAAGAATGAACCCAGGGCAAAGTTTCAACCCTCTGCTTTTCTTCCCTCCTGCAATGTGTGACATGACAGCTACCTCTATCATGTATGTTGGTAAGTTCAGCTCAAGACCTGTGGGGTTAGTATGGTTTGTTATGCTTCTGTAGTCAAGAAAATGTGCATCTCTTCTCCATATTGAATCAGGGATTAAGAATCCTAAATAAAATTTGTTAAAAATATTTTCTTTCATTGTTTTTTGTCAATCATAAAGTTTTGAAGTCTGTTTACATTAGTTAAACTCCTGGATTTGGTTTGCAGCTCTCAACATGACGAGCGCCTCCAGCTTCCAGATGCTTCGTGGCGCCGTCATCATCTTCACCGGTCTCCTGTCCGTGGCCTTTTTGGGTCGTCGGCTCCAACCCAGTCAGTGGCTTGGAATCTTCATCACCATCCTCGGCCTGGTGGTTGTGGGACTCGCCGATCTCGTCAGTGGTCACAAAGATGACTCCCATAAGCTCAGCGATGTCATCACCGGTATTACGTTTTTATATTTTCTGGGAAAGAATAAATCACTACGTACATTAAGTTAAAGTCTTTAATTATTTGCAAAATAAAGATGTAGATTACCTTCCTGTCTGCAGGTGATCTCCTGATCATTATGGCTCAGATCATCGTTTCGGTTCAGATGGTGCTGGAGGAGAAGTTTGTCTATAAGCATGACGTGCATCCACTTAGAGCTGTTGGAACTGAAGGTAAATGAGTAAGCTGCAGCATGGGAAATGAATGCTCCTTTATATATGAAACAGGGTTAACTTTTTATGTTCTCCACCTACTAAAGTGAAGTTACAGTCAGCTTTAATGTTTTAATTGATGTGAGTGGCTGAACCACTCATCTGTGAAGCACAAAGAACTGAGAACAAAGAACCATCTAAAATCCTTTACCTACAACAGACTTTAGTTAACTTATTTTATTAAGTAGCTGTGTTTCCATTCAAGTGAAATCCAAATTTTAAGCAAACTTTTAAAAGTTTGAAAAAAAGGAAATGCAAGTTTGCTGTGTTTTCATTTGGTTTGAAGTGAATTAACCAAGCGCTGCAAAGGCATCCTTGGTTGTCGTCCACATTACGTCGCAACGCATGACTGTAATAAACAGGAAGTAAAGGCTGCAATATGGCACTGGCCTCGGATCAGAAATGGAGGAGAGTAGTAACGAATGTGTGGCTATCGGATAAGTTGTCCTTACGTTAAAATATCAGTATTGGCAAAGTTGCTTCCATCCATGTTTATGCGCATAATAGGAACATCTGGGAATAGCTGATCTTTAATGTGGGTAAAAGCTATGTCAGAATGGATTTGAAAAACGTGATCACATCTCCCATTTTGCGCATTGGCTCTTTTTTCTGTAAAAGACAAAAAACACGTCAAGCAAGATTTTTTGTGCAAATTTTAGGACGTTTATTTGAATGGTGTGTTTTCCATCAAGCTGCACATTAGAAAAAGCTGATGGAAATGCACCTAGTGGTAGCACCCTAAATACTTATCAAAATAAGAAACCAAAGCGTAACATACAGAATCTGCCTCATGTAGGCACATATTCCCAGCTGTGATTCTAATGCTGGAGAGGAATGTTAAAGCTTCAGTCTCATGTGTGGACAAAAGGATCAGCCTCTAGAAATTGTTGCTCTAAAACAAAACAGAAAGAAGGATGTTTAAATATCAATACAAAATCCAATAAAAAAGACGTGTTTCCAATAGAGGCTTAAGAAACTACACCTCTGACCCAAGAATCTGATGACATTTAATCTAGACTGTAACCAGACGTAACTCCAATCATAGCTGAGAAGCCAGGGTCTCTTACAAATAAGTGTTCTCACCGAAGGATTCATAAAGATAGAAAAGTGTTAGGTTAAGAGAAAAATGCAGATTAGAAAGTGAGTACATAACTATATAAGTGCAACTCTTATAGTTATTCCAAAAACTCTTATAGGTTGGTTCTGTGCAGTGGAAAATTGAGAGTAGCTTTCTTTGAAATTATTTTTCATCACAGACTAGGCTTATGATCATTTATTTATATTACTATAATGTAGAGAGGGGCGTAAAAAGGGACTGTGTTCAATAAATCATTTGATGTTCCTCATTTTTATTTATGCATGAATAGACATTAAATTAGGCAGTCTGACTCCACTCCCTTAGTGGTTCTAGTTGTTCAGCCCTACCATCATAGACTGATCCAAGTATCTCCTCCACCTTCAATAGAAAGACAGCAAGGACAGCACTAACCAAAAGTGAAAGATAGCATTCACCCTGCGGCAGATTGAGACGCATGACAGCGGGGTTCGGTAACAGCTGGAAAATGGAAATAAGCTATTTTATCAGAAGACAAACTGTCATTGCAAAGAGAACAAACAGATCCATTAGTGCTGCTTTAATGTGTTTTTGTCTGAGGCAGGAGAATCACAATGACCTTTGTTTAAAGTAGCTGCTTATTGAACAGAGTAGCTACATAAGAAGCCCTGATAAGAGCCTGAGATAATGTATCAGAGGTTATCCAGAATATCAATTGTTACCTCAGACGTTTGTGAAAATGAACTGTGCAGACTGTCGTTAGGGAAATAGGATACTTGCATGTTGCTTGTTTTAACCATCTCACAAAATTTTCATCTCACTTTAACACCACAGAACCAGAAATTTTAGAAGACGTACATAGTGTGGAAAGAAAAGCATACATTGTGTAAGAAGTGTAAAAAGAGTGGCAACAAAAATATAGAATATAATAGAATAGAATGGATTAGAAAAGAACAAAGACATCCTTTCTTTATCTAGTAGGTATAGGTAACAAAAAGAATAAGACACTGTACAGTGAAAAGAACTTAAAAAAAATAGTAAAAGTTATGTACATCAGGTAATTGTATTTTTACTCAATCAAAAGTACAAATACTAGTGTTAAAGACAAAAATAGAAGTACTTCTTTATAAATATACAGGTTCTGCAATGTATTATAATACATTATTATAATATATATTAAATTATATATTATAGTTGTAGGAGCCTATTATTTTTTGTTCATAATTAACTAAGTTTTGATTTTTGTGGATAATCTAGTTAATTTTATTTATTCTGGCTTATTGTTTGATATCTGTTTTGATATTATGTTTTTTTTTAATTTAGTTCTGCTTCTCTGTTTCTAGATAGTTATGACAAATTTGGGTGAATTAAGTTTATAAATAGGCTGTCAATGGTAGGACCAGCATGCATCTGGGTGGGCTTATGGTTTTTTAGTAGTGCAATATTAAGAGAATAAAGTCTTAAAATTACAAGAAGCAAGTTGTATTTCATGAAAACTCTTACAAAAAGGACTGTCTTCCCTAAAATGAGGAATGTCGAGCATTATGTGAAGTTATGCTTTGGTGCTTTTGGCCAACTAGCGAAGTGTTTTCTGTGGCAGAATGCTATTGATAAATAATGGTGGTGGAAGTATCATGATGTGGAGACAGTTTTTTCTCAAGCAGGGCAAGAAAACTGATGTAAGTTAATTGATGGAGGTAAAAGCAGAAAGAAGAGTTGAACCTTAAAAGGACTTGATAGGTTTTCCATCCAGCAGGTTTTAGTTTTTACTCGGAAAGACTGAATACAAAAGCACAATAAACGTTTTCCTTTTTGTGCAAAAGATGATACAATAGATTTAATTTATTTAATTAATTAATTTAATTCCCCAAGAAATCCTTTTGAAATGGAATGAAGCTGGTAAAAAAAACTTCATGAAGTTGGGGTAATTTTGCACACTCATGTCACAAACATTTTGTTTTTCCAAGTTCAGATTGAAAAAAAAACTTTTATTACTGTTTAATAAATATAGAGTTTTTATTATTGTAGCTTATGTAGTTTTTCATTTAACCATATTAATTTTGGTTTTCCATTTTCAGGTTTGTTTGGTTTTGTTGTGCTGTCCCTGCTGCTCATCCCAATGTACTTCATCTATGTTGGGAACTTCAGTAACAATCCTCGGCAGGTCCTGGAGGACGCGCTGGATGCCTTCTGTCAGATTGGACACAAGCCCCTGATCCTCTTGGCTCTTCTGGGCAATACGGTCAGTATCGCCTTCTTCAACTTCGCCGGCATCAGCGTCACCAAAGAGATCAGCGCAACCACCCGGATGGTGCTGGACAGCCTGCGTACTCTGGTCATCTGGGTGGTCAGCCTGGCTTTGGGTTGGGAGCAGTTTCACGGCTTGCAGGTTCTTGGATTTTTGGTCCTACTGACAGGAACGGCGCTCTACAATGGACTGCATCGCCCCCTGTTGGCGAAGATACCTTGGTGCGCCGCTAGAATGAACCTAGAGGAGGATAGTAGTGAGGCGGAGAGAGAGAGACTGCTAAATGATGGAAGGGTGCATGCTGGTGAAGACACATAAAACATTGCTGAAACACTTTGTATAAACAATACCACAGAAATGGAAGCTTTTATAATTGCTGTCAGACATTTTTAAACATTTTTTTCGTGCCTCAGGTTTTACCTTTTCTCATAAAACGTTCTAGTATGAAATAAATTTTTAAAGTAATCGTTCAACATTTCAAGAAAAACCCTAATGTCCTTTTTTTGTAGAGTCAAAATAAGTCTGGAAACCCTGAAAAGTCAGTATCAGAACTTTTTTTTATCAAGGAAAAAAATCCCTCTTGAGGAATATTACCAAAGTCAGAGCTGTTAATTCTGCCAACAGCACTTACTGAGTCTTCTATAGCATTTTATGTGGTTTTGGCTGGTTTATCACAGGATTTAGATCTGGGATGGCAATAAAAAGGGGTTAATTTTCTGTTTTTGTGTTCAACTTGTTTATTAAAAAGCCCCACAGCATCACATATCCCTTTACTGACCCACTGGAAGTGATAGCTGTATGTACAGGCTTTGCTGTAGCTCTAATCAATCAGAGGATTTCCACTGAAAGCGTTTTTCTGGAGTATCCCAGAAGCGCTGCCCGCTTCTCTAAAATAGGTGACTGTTCTATATTAGCCGCTTCACCTCCACGTCAATCTAGAGCAGAGCGGACCATTCGGACAGAAAGTCAGCTGATAAAAAGCGGATACAAATAAATGACATATGTGCAGACTTAGGATCGCTTTTCCTGGACTTTTATGTGATAAAATGTTTGATAAATATGAAATTTAAATAAAGAAAATAACAAAAAAAATATTTTAACTTCCCCATGATGGAAGAAAAAAAATCTTATGGTGGTTAGATAAAGAGCAGACATCCAAGAAGCTGGTAAAGCACCTTAAATAAACACTTAACTGGCTTATTCTTTTATCTAAAGCCTATTGGTACACTTATAGCTTTGTGATGCAAACCTGACATGATCGGAGTTTAAACACGCAGAGATGCTCCACTTTGAAAACCCTCCCATTGGAATAGAGTGTTTGTGAAAAGCTGTGGTGCAGCTGGACCATGGTAAGTCTGTGTGGCTTCCACTTCCAGTGTAACCCAAGGGTTAGTCACTAGAGGGCGCAAAGTACTTTTCCACATACAACAACATGGTTTTGTTGATAAAAAAAAAACGTGGTGACCCAATAATCCGACCCATCCAGCCTGGTGATAGTTTCACCATCATCAGTTTCATCCATTTCTACATCATGTCAGATTTAGGCCCCAGAAAATGACCAAAGTCATTTAAATCTTGAATTTTGAAGGTGAAAGAACAGATCTGTATTATTTGGCAAGGCATGCTGTTTCTTTTTTGTGTTAGTTTTCCTTTAGGATTGGAAGAAAGCTCATCGGTTTGTGCAAGTACCTGTTCTCCAGCCTTGAAATTGATACAAATGTGGTTTTTAAAAATGCAAATTGTTTGTCTTCCAAAATTTCATAGAAATAGAGGAGAGCATGAACAATTCTCATATGACAATGCTGTTTTAAAGGGAGTGTTTCTGTGTAAGAGATTTTAGTTTTTTTAGGGATAAAAAAAAAAACTTTCTATGTTCCGTTTTTTTTTTTATCGCTGTGGTCTTTTGTAAAAAAGAAAAAAAGGATTTTGAGATGTTTCTGTGTTATTAGGAAACAAAAGCACTATGGTGCAAATTTGTTAAGCCTACTTCCAGTACACTACTTTTCTGCTGGCTTTTTTTTTTAGATGGACCATAATCTCATCATGTCTCAAAGTGATCACATTGTTTTCCCAAATCTGAAAGTTCAGTTCATTGTGCCAAACATTTTCTGCTAGTATTAAGAGCACTTTGAATGTTTTACTTTAATTTAGGAAAAAAAATCCTTTTCTGGATTTATCAAAATTGACTTGATTAAAATCTCAACATGTTTCATCTGTTTCAGACCTTCGGGACTTCTCTGTCATTTACTTTACAACATGGAATGAAAAAGGGAACTTTTGTCAATTTAAATAAATATTAAAATGTTTTTTCATCATTTCGGCAGGTACAGATAAAACTGTAGACTTTACAGAATAAATAAGCGAAAATCTCACTCTTGCATTTCATAATTTAAGATTTCTATAAATGTTTGTTTATATAATTTTTAATTGAAGACTTTTTAATATGTTAAATATTAATAAAAGAAATCTTAAAAACAGGTTTAACTGCAATGATTGTTTCTTATCCATATGAATAAAAACAGCAAAAACAAAGTATAGTAATATGTAAAATAGGGTAAAGGGGAATTTCCTTTACTAATTTCTTTCATGCTGTCAAACAATGGTTTATACTATTTTGATAAATCTCCCACTGAAGGTTGGGTTTTTCCTGCAGTGCTTTTGCAGCAACTAACAACTTAGAAGGTCATTATAACTAGAGCCATAGAGATCCAACATGTTTATGCCAAAACGTATAGAATGGTTGAATAAAAGAGTTACACAGATATTTTTTCACCAGCAGCTGATACTTCCAGTCACTTCCTTAATGCTTTAGTGAAGTTCAAAGGTTAAAACCAGAGTTCCCTGGAGAACCTTGCATGAAACCCCATTAAATTTAACTGAGCATCACAAAGGAACCTTTGTTAACTGAACACTTACACGCTGATATGTTTTAATTTGGTGCAAGTCCGAAATCTTCAACTTTTACACTCAGTTTGCATCCGTTAAGCCAGTTTCTGTACTTGACTGTATTGTCCGAAGATATTGGCGCACAAAGAGGCTTAATGAGTTTCACATATGATGGAAATGTTTCCCACACCTACTTGTTTGGTGGATCTTGGAGCACTTGAGAGAGAAAAACAAGATTGTGTACACACACCACTGAGCAGTTTATTAGGGACTCTTGAGGTTTTCCACATGAATCAGTTCAAACTGCTTTGTTTGAGTTCACTGAAGCTCAAAAACCTCCACTCCAGCTGAGCACCTCTTGCTAGTTGTAGAACAGGAAAGTTGAATGAACCACAGGAAAGTCGGAAAGAAGAAAGATTGTTTTAAACCTAAGGAAAACAAGCTAAGAGGGGAAATACTAAAGCTCTACCCTTTATAATACATCTATTCATAAAAAGTATGTTTTGAACAAGTTTTCTTTAAATACAAAAGTACACAATATTCCCTTTTATTCAAATTGTGAGTAAATTTTTTTAATTTATTTTTTTTATGTACTTTTACCACTGCAAATTGAGGTAATTTTAACTAGAGCTGCTTACCAGAGCAATTTAAGATTATTTTGCTGTTGGATTAATCCATCAATAGATTTTTCCCATAAATGGATGATTAATCGGACACCAGATGGTGCTGTAGAGAAGATTTTTATATAGAATGTAGACCTGCTGAAGCTAAAACAATGCCGCTCAGGAGATCTTAATTCAGAATATTCACAGACAAGAAAAAAGTTTTTCGATCTAACACAATCTTGGAAGATGTTTAAAGCTTGAGTTATTGTTTCATATCTAAACTTCCTTTGAACATTTCTAAGCTTTATCCATAATCTGTATCATGTTCCTCAGTCTTAATAAAACAAACCTCTGAGACCTAACAAATTTACTTCTCTGTGGATAGTAAATTTAGATTCCATTCAATTCAGCTAATTTATATAGAGCCAATATCATCTCAAAGCACTTTACAGAGACAATTCAACTGGATCATACAGTCAAACTGATTCAAAGTTTTCTTTCTAAGGAATATGAATAGCATTTGTAGAAGTGGCATACTATCTGCCGTTGTGTTTATTGCCACTAGGTGGCAGTGTTGTATTACCTTCATGTATGTCCTCAGAACCCAAAATATTAAATTGGGTTAATTAACTGCATAAACCGGCATCACTGTCATAACACCAAAGGAAAATTCCATTAGATACCAACAAAATCATCTAGATGAAAGTTAAACAATTACATGATTGATAATGTCTTGTACATGAAGAGTTTTGTTAAATACGCATCTCAGTGTGTGCAGCAAGAGCAAGATGTTTTGTTATGTTTAAAGCCTTAAATGTCAGCTGTGCTAAAGACAGCAGCTGGATCAGGACACATAGCCTCTCACATAAAAATAAGTTAATCGATGCAAAAGATGGACTAAACAACATGAACGAGCCTGTAGGGAAAGAAGGGGAAAACCATTTCCAGTAGCTGTTGGGGAGGGACAAATTTGTCCCCTGAGATGATGGCCTCCCCAGAGAGATGGACTGTACACATGGACAGACAGAGAGACTGATGAGCTATCAGTGGATCTTCTGCCTTTAACCCCATCTTGTTTGTTTTTGTAGAAGGTTGCTGAAATGAACTGAAAACTTAAAACAATGTAGGCTCAAGTGTTGCAAATGTATTTATGTGCATATATATATATATATATACACTATATTGCCAAAAGTATTTGCTCACCCATCCAAATTATTGGAATCAGGTGTTCCAATCACTTCCATGGCCACAGGTGTATAAATTCAAGCACCTAGGCATGCAGACTGTTTTTACAAACATTTGTGAAAGAATGGGTCGCTCTCAGGAGCTCAGTGAATTCCAGCGTGGAACTGTGATAGGATGCCACCTGTGCAACAAATCCAGTCGTGAAATTTCCTCGCTCCTAAATATTCCACAGTCAACTGTCAGCTGTATTATAAGAAAATGGAAGTGTTTGGGAACGACAGCAACTCAGCCACGAAGTGGTAGGCCACGTAAACTGACGGAGCGGGGTCAGCGGATGCTGACGCGCATAGTGCGAAGAGGTCGCCAACTTTCTGCAGAGTCAATCACTACAGACCTCCAAACTTCATGTGGCCTTCAGATTAGCTCAAGAACAGTGCGCAGAGAGCTTCATGGAATGGGTTTCCATGGTCGAGCAGCTGCATCCAAGCCATACATCACCAAGTGCAATGCAAAGCGTCGGATGCGGTGGTGTAAAGCACGCCGCCACTGGACTCTAGAGCAGTGGAGACGCGTTCTCTGGAGTGACGAATCGCGCTTCTCCATCTGGCAATCTGATGGACGGGTCTGGGTTTGGCGGTTGCCAGGAGAACGGTACTTGTCTGACTGCATTGTGCCAAGTGTAAAGTTTGGTGGAGGGGGGATTATGGTGTGAGGTTGTTTTTCAGGAGCTGGGCTTGGCCCCTTAGTTCCAGTGAAAGGAACTCTGAATGCTTCAGCATACCAAGACATTTTGGACAATTCCATGCTCCCAACTTTGTGGGAACAGTTTGGAGCTGGCCCCTTCCTCTTCCAACATGACTGTGCACCAGTGCACAAAGCAAGGTCCATAAAGACATGGATGACAGAGTCTGGTGTGGATGAACTTGACTGGCCTGCACAGAGTCCTGACCTCAACCCGATAGAACACCTTTGGGATGAATTAGAGCGGAGACTGAGAGCCAGGCCTTCTCGTCCAACATCAGTGTGCGACCTCACAAATGCGCTTCTGGAAGAATGGTCAAAAATTCCCAT